CCATTCAACTAATAAGCTCACCAAGTATTTCTAGCATAACGCATAAGGTGCCTATGCTTTTGTTTTACAAATTCATGATTATGCTCAGTAATCAACTTAGTGATCTTATATAGACCATCTAATTGAGCAATAAACCAAACCATGACTTGATAAGTTGTCCTTGCATTCATTCTACTAAATGAATTATTGCTACCTTCTTCTAAATATTTAGACTCTTGTTTTGAACATGTATAATACTTTGTGTGAATCTTGTTAGTTCTAGCAATATAGGTTTGTTTTGATTTTCTCACAGAAAAACCCACCTAATACGCATATTTTGTATATAACGCATAAGCCTTATCTTCATTATTTATAGTTTGGCCTAAATAAATATTTTCAATACCACCATTATACGTATGTTCAGAGCCAAAACTAGTCATAAAATTTTCTTCTCCTCTCGTATCTAACTTTGACTCATTTGCTATTTTCATTATGTACAATATTAAAACTAATTAAAAATCTATGTAAAATTAAAATAATCTTAAATAAAAGTTGATAAACTGAAGAAAAATTTATGCACAGAAAATGCATTAACTAAATACATTCATTCACAAAATGTATTATAAATGAAAAAGAGAAAAACAAATCCAATGCATATAGACCAATTCATTAACTAATCATACATTTCCTCATAAATTGAAATCGTATTCTAGTGACTTTTGGAACCTCAATTTCAGTAGCGGCAAAGTTGGTGTCCTCCAACAATTGTTTTCTCTTACAAATTGAAATTGTATTCCAACACCTTTTATTCAGAAGGTCAATTTTAGTAGTATCAGAGTTGGTAACCGTAAACAATTATTTTCTTAGAACGATGTTAGGTAGCAAAATGGGTGATAAGGGAGATAGAGGGAGAGGAGCATCAGCACAGGAAAGGGTTTTGTGAATTCTTTTTGTAAATTTTTTTATGTTTTTTCCTCACACTAAAAAATACTACATTAGATTAAAATATTTTTGAGTTATTGGCTTATCATTGGTCAGACCACAAGTGATGTGGCACTCCTAGTTCTAATAAGTGTTTTTTTTTCAAGCTCAAATTAGGAGGTTTTTTTTTTCAAAATAAAATTTGAATTGTCTAGGAGTAGATGATTCATCAACCCACTAGGATTAATGGTTCTGAGTTGTTGGCTTATTATTGGTCCGATCATAAGTGATGTGGCCCTCTTGGTTCATGCAAAAGTTGCTCATATGCCAATAGCTTATCCTTTGCTTAAAAACCCGAGTACTTCCTCGTTTATATACTTATGAATTTTAATCCAATTGAGCTATTACTTTTTGGCCTTTGGAGAACAAAGTTTGATGTAGATCTATAGGAGTCATATTTTCACTATTAACTCTTGATCTTTCCATTAAAAAAGAACTTAAATCAGTTCTTCAGAAACTTTGTTAATATTGTTACATATAATTCTTTAGGAACTATATCATTTGAGAGGAATGTGAAAACAAATTCATTTCAATACATCATTATCATAATAATGAATAATTATGAATATCATATATTTAACTTGCAATATATATATATATATAAAACACAAAATGTAGAAAAACCTTTAAAATGAACTTTTGAAAATAAAGTGCAAATCAAACATGCCATTCAAAACTTCTGAATATTAATCTAGATTCTTATATCAAATTCTTATAATAATTTGTCTCTAAACAATTATAATAAATTTAAAAACCAATAAAAATTAAAAATTATATGGTATTCTAGGCATATGGTTATATCTTCTATTTTTATAAATATTTTGAGCATTTTCATCACAACTTATTACCTTGGGCATTATAAATACTTTTGATATTTTTCATAATATTTCATAGTCTTTTGGCTTCGTAATCATTTTTTTAAAATTCAATGAATTTATACATATTTGTCTATTATAATACTTGCTTATAATTTTATTGACCATAAAGGTATTACTCTTTCCTCAGTTATGGTTCAATAGCCCAAACTAATATTATTGCCCTTCAGTTATCAATTCTAACAATACAATGTTGTTATGTTCTTTATCACTCTTATAGACATGTTCTTTACTTTCAATAGTATACCATCAATTTCCTCAAATATTAATCTTTTGGGCCATAGCAAAAATTTTTCAAAACTACAAAACTCTTTTGTACCATTTGATATTTAAACCATTAGTTTTCAAGATTTTAATATAGATTTTCAAATTGTGACAATCTTGTAATGCCATTTATTACAACCACAAGATGTTCTTTTATCAAAGAATTATAAAAAAGTGATGTGGCTTCTAACTATCTAATCACAAGATCAAGAGGACAATGGCTATGAACCATTTATTTATGTATTTAACATCTTACTTTTCAAGACAACAATGAATGAATATTGGAGATGATAATCATATATAGTAATGATATAGATGAAAATAAACCTCATAATAAATCAAGAAGTATAAAGATAGTAGAATCATGAAAATATAAGAAAGGTAAGAAATAGAAATAAAAATTTTCATATCTCAATACAATGAATAAAATATTCAGTTAGCAATAAATGAATAAGGTTAATATGCAAAACCATTATTTTCTCTAAATAAATTAGAAAAATTTTATCACGGCATATGGATTAAACTACCTTCATGCAACTAACAAAATCAACAAAAATCAACAAGAAGCCATGAATTCAGATGGTAGAATCTTGTGCTGATAATATGTTATGAAATTAACCAACAAAAATAAATAAATTAGAGAAGAGATATAGACAAGAAAATGAGAGAATGATATTGTATTTCTTCACTTACTTCACTTCATAATGACACATCCTATTTATGGGTATAGTCTTTCACATAGCTATACTCATAATTAAATGACATAGTGGATAATAAATTACATAAATATGAGTGGGAAGGGAGTTACAAGATTAAAGATATAATAGAGGAATAATAGAGTAGTAGATGAGTAATGCATTATGAAAATGATGAGAGTTGATGAAATTGAAGAAGAAGAGGTGATGGATATCACAGTTAATAATATTCATAACATATTGTATATTTTAATGGAATTTTTATATATTTTTTTAGTTACTGTATTAAGTTCAAGATTATTAGCAATCTCGAATAGTTTATTCCATTTAAATATTCCTTATGTGTGTTGCATATTTAGAGTTCTTACATGCAAATATATATTATATATGTTCACCAAATATATATATATATATTATATACTTCACCCACCACTAGAAAAATTTAAGATTTGTTAAATAATCTAAAACTTGTAAATATTTTTATGCAGTTAAGCATTTTTAGTTGAAGTTTCTTTTAGAGAAAATTAATATGTGGATGCCTATATTTAACCATTATGTTTAAATAGATTCTCGCAGTTTAAATATGAATAAGCTCAGAATCATAAGCTGGAACTGGGAGACGAGATTGTATTCAATAATGGGCCTTGGCAAAGTTTTTTGGGCCACAAGATGGAAAGGGGATTTTGAAGGTTCCGTTGCAGACCTCAGCCCACGTATCACAACCGAGCAGTGTGCATGCTCAAGTCACTCTTGATGGATATGTTTCTTTTTATTCTTCTTATAAGAATCTACGGACACCAATAAATCTTATTTGATTCAGTTAATAAAAAATCGGTAAATAAAGTTATGAGTTCAAATTTTATTATTGATATGAGCACCTTGTTAGTAAACAATCTATAAGTATCTCTATAAGCATGCTCTGAACCTGAAAGCTTGTCCTTATCCTAATAAACTCCTGCGACTCAATTCACCCAAACCTTTTATAAAAAAAAAAAAAAATCCACGAACTATTTTGTACATATCAATAAAACTAGTCAAAGGCATAAAATTTGTCATAAAAATTCAAATAACTTTCAATGTTACCTTCATTAGTTACATTAAATTCCAACATCATATTAAATTTTATTCTCTCACTAGTACTCTCATTAAACATGAGCATATATGATTTTATACTCATTGAAACTATCAAAGGATTTTATAAAAAGGAATAGAATTTTTTCTAGAAGGGCCTTTATAATAACGACCAAAGGGAGTGGTTGTTTTAATTAAGTTTTTCCACATCATTAAATATAAATTAAATTAGAATTTATTGCATTAACTGCAAAGATTGTCTATTGAGGGAAGTCGTTCTTAATATAAAGTTGAGTAGGTTAATTTGGAGAAAGTAATGAAGATAAATTAATTACTTTAAAATATCTATATTTATTGTTTTTTTAAACTAATTTGACTCACTTATAAACTAATATATAATCTAATGATGTATGTAAGTATTTTAGAGAGATCATATAACATATTTTATTATTAGTCAAATAAATTTTATATTAATGATCGAAGGTAGTATTTTCTTAATATATTGAAACATTCTGCCTTCTTAATAATATATGGTTCGCCTCACTCGTTGAAGACGCTTGTGGCAACTCTGCAGATATCTTCACCAGTTATTTCCTGATACTCGTTTAAGAAATGGGTTTAAGCTTTATAATTGAAATTTATGGCTTTGTTGCTTAGCTTGATAACTAATATATATGCATCTAATGAAAATCATTTTTCAACACATAATCACTTAAATCATTATTTACTGTTTTCATTTTCATTATTAAACGCTAGATAGATGTTAACATATCTCAGCACGGAGTTGGCTTGCCGCTGTTGATAATATTATTGAAGCACTACCTCCGATTTTTAATATAATAATTAGATGAAAGTTGAATATGCTTTTAAACATAAAACTTCAATTTATTTTGTTTTCTAAATTTATCATTTTTGTCCCCAAAACATTTCGGTTGAGGTTTTATAATTTGAATGCGGATGGTTAAAAAAAGTAATTTATATACACACATTTGTTATAAATAGCAAACTTAACCGATTTTTTTTAATACCTTCAAATTAGTTACTTAGCTTACGACTAATCTTTTTACATCTTGAGAAGATATTTATCTTCACATGATACCTGAGTTTCAAAGGAATCAAGAACTATAGATCATGCAAATTGCCCTAGCCAAGCACAATCTCTGATCCATAAGTTGCATTGATGCATAAAATGCTGAGACTGCTAATTAATGAACATGATGAAACCACTATGGCACAGATTCTTCTTCTGCTAGTGTAATTACACAAATTAAAGTAGTGATAAGTATGATATTACATATCATTACATATCAGCAAGTGGCTACAATATAGCAGAAGAATGAGAGAATATAAAGCTACAGCTGAAAACCTTCTCATTGACCAGGGACGAAGTTAGTGGCATAAGCCCAGGCATTGTTAGCAACAGGGTCAGCAACGTGATCAAAAAGGTTCTGAATGGGGCCTTTGCCTGTGACAATGGCCTGAACGAAGAATCCGAACATGGAGAACATTGCCAATCGCCCGTTCTTGATCTCCTTCACCTTCAACTCTGCGAATGCGTCTGGGTCATCTGCCAGACCAAGTGGGTCAAATGCTCCACCTGGGTAGATTGGGTCTAGCCCTTCCCCAAGTGGTCCTCCTCCAACTCTGTACCCTTCAACGAATCCCATCAGAACAACCTGAAACACCCCCACAAACATTATTTAGTATCACTTATATAAGTACATTTCACATTTCACATCAGTCGATGAGACAAAACTCCTCTCATATGTTTATTTCTTTCTGTAAGTTATAATTAAAATACTGCATATAAACAATTCCAAACAAACCATGAAATGTTTGGATTATGCAATTTTAGTCAATTAACAGCAACTGATGTATACTCCCTCCAATCCCAGGTATAAATAACAACTAACAAAATCACATTAGCCAAAATTAATTAAAAATAATACGTGTGGACAAGATTTAATTTTCCCCCCCCCCCCAAAACGAGATGATAATTGAGAGGGATTGACTTTAAAAAAATGAGATATACATGTAATTAATTGGGATAAAAATAAAAAATGCATTAAACTTTTACCTATATGCAAAGTGTAACTTATATATAAGAGAGAGATATTGTTATTTATATTTAGGACTCAAGGGAGAAGGGAGTACTATATTATGCATATTACCTCCGGTCATAAATATACATGAGTTTAGTTTTGTCCTAAATTTAAATTCGAAATTTATTTCATGAATTACTCATCTCGCTTTGTATCTTTATGTTAACTAGAGAGTAATGTTCTGGTAAGAAAGGCACCGAATCTAATCTGACCTGACAAGCCCAGATTGCGAGGATGCTCTGGGCGTGGATGAGGTTAGGGTTGCCGAGATAATCAAGGCCACCTTCGGAGAAGATCTGGGCACCAGCCTTGAACCATACTGCCTCACCAAACTTGACGCCGTTCTTCTCAAGGATTTCAGGGAAGACGCATCCCAAAGCCCCAAGCATGGCCCACCTGCAGTGAATCACTTCAAGCTCACGGTTCCTGGCAAAGGTCTCGGGATCTGCAGATAAGCCGGCGGTGTCCCATCCGTAGTCGCCGGGGAATTCACCAGTCAGGTACGACGGAATTTGCTCGGAGAATGGACCCAAGTACTTGGGACGGTCAGGACCATACCTGTTTCAGAGAATTCAATCGCATCAGTAAAAAGCAAATGGCATAAAAATTACGTTGATGAGTAGAAATTAAATGAAAGAGGTCGATGGTTAAATTTACCAGATGCTCTGAGGAGCACTCTTGACGGTGCGACGCATGGTGAAGCGGCCGTTGCCAGAGGTGCCGGCTTTCCGGACGAGCTCATTTGCCTGCTTCAATGCGGTCTGTCCGACGAATGCTGATTGTTGGATAGCAGAGGTGGCCATGGCGACGGCGGCGACGATGATGTTGATATGATGATTCTGGACTGGTTGGTCTGCGTTCTGATCAGAAGAATGAGGCGTTGGAGTAATGTTTATAGAAGAGAGAGAAGGATTCCATGTGATATTGTGGATGAGGATTTGTACAGCCCAGCGGCTTCCTATTGGTCGTTGTGTTGGATGTGGATTTCCTTGTTGATTTTTTGGGTATCTAAAGTGGCTATCCTTCTGCCACGTGGACATATCAAGATCTGCTTCCTCATTGGTTTCTGTGGGAGGGGAGTCACACAACTGAGACGAGAAGAAAACAGCCACTACCAAAAGAACGGTTTGCAACGAACTGTTTTTTAGCAGAAGAAAACAATTTATCAATTAATTTAATTTATTTATTTATTGAGCATGTTTGATTATTAACTTAATTTATTCACTTATTTGATAATTTCTGTGAAAAAAAAAGTTTAACAAAAATTTAATTATTCGTTTGCTTATCTCTTATTTAAAAGTTTGCAGTCAAATTATAAAGCTACATATTTTTTATTTTAAAGTATACCCTTCAGCGTTTTTTTTTTTTTATTTTGTATAACATATATGCTTGTAAAGGAAAAATATTGCTACTTCATAAATATTTACAAATAAAATTAGAAAAAAATTACTTGAAAAGCCAACTGAATAACTCAAATTAAAGTTAGAGTTTCTAAAGTTATGAAATTTCTTATTTGTTGAGAAAATTTTAATCTTAATGCTGTTGATTTAATAGAAATTAATATCAAACTCAACATAGCTTAAGAATATTCTGAGTTATAGCAGGCAAAAAAAAAGAGGTTAGGTAACTCGATTAGGGATTTTAAAATCTAACAAAACGACAAGAATGGCCCTAGGCAGCTAACAAGTTTCATTCGCAATAGATTTCAACAACTTTTCTTTGAACGTGGTATAGTTGCAATAGATTTTTACTAAAACTTAAGCAGAATACATTATTAAAAATTAATACTTTTTTTGTCAAAAAAATTAATATGCTTCATTATACAGTTCATAAGTTACAATTTAAAATTAACAATTTTTCTTTCATCATAATACATTTGCAATAAATTTTAAATAAAATTTAGGCACAATACAATCTTTGTTGTAAACATTATGTTGTGTGGATGTTCATAACTCCTTAGCCCCTTGGGATTCCTTCTCATGGTTAATGGCATTATACCTTATAACTCCCAAATTGAAGGGTTTCAAGTATTGATTTCCTATAACCTCCAATTGTACAATTATGTTGCTTAATTCCTTTCTTTATGTACTTGTAACTCTTTAGGTTAGTCTTCAATATTGGGGTCCTATAAATAGGAGATGATGTACACACATTTGAGACAATGAAGTGAACTAGAACTCCCCCTTAATTTCTCCTCCAATTTCCTCTTATTTTCTCCATCTCCCTCATCTCAATCTTTGTACTTTTCTCATTTTTCACAACACGTTATCACACGAGTTTGCTCTAAAGATTTGAGGTATGAGTCCTTTGTAAATTAATATATTCTTATAGTATATGATAATACTTTCTACTAACTTCTCCTTACCCAATTATTCTTTTTATCTTATTATCACGTCTAATTTTAATTTTCTATATATTTGCTATATATTATGTTGTTCTTTTATGTTATTTATTAATTTATTCTTTTTATACATTTTAATTCTATTATCTCCCCATTGTGATATTGTGTTGTTTATTTTATTTATTTTTCCATACTTCTTGTTCTATTGTTTGTTTACATATATCTGTTTGGTTTATGTTATGTCGCAGTATTATATATATGATTATATAATGTTATTTATATTTGATTATGAATTTTAATTTATTTAATTTATTTCATTACGATATTATTTAATTTCATTTTATTAAATGGCTAGAAGCCATATGTGATTAGATGACCAGAAGTCATATCACTTTTGCAATTGTTTTTTGTGAAAGAACACTATGGATGCTTTTAAATGGAATGACAAGAAAAATCTATGGCACTTTGATGATTTGATAATGACAAATATCAAAGCCCTGAAAGCTACATGGTGACAAATATTGAAGCCCTGAAGGCTATATTGTGACAAGTATCAAAGCCTTGAAGGCTAATAGTTCAAACATCAAATGGCATAAAAGAGCTTTATTTGAAAGATTTTTACTATAGTCCTGAAGACTAATATTTGAATAAATTGATTATGTGCTGTTGAAAGTAAGGAACATGTCTATAAGAGTGATAAAGAGCATGCCCACATTGTACCGTTGGAATTAATAATTAAAGGGCAATAATATTTGGTTTTAGCTATTAAACCATAATTGAGGAGATATTGATATCTCTATAGTAAAAAACAATTATGAGTAAATATCATAATATGACCAGAAGTCATATAGACAAATATATGTACCAATCTATTGAAAGTAAATGTTAAAATTGGTTATGAAATCAAAAGATCAAGATATATTATGAAAAGTATGAAAATGTAGTTATAATGCCCAAGGTAATGTCTTATAGAGAAATATGTTCAAATTAGTCAAAGTTGAAAAATATAATCATTAGCCTAGAAGGCTATATCCAGAAGGTTATATAATATTATTTTAAATTTCTTGTGATTGATTGGTAGAAATATATTATTATAAGTATTTGATATTAAGATATTGATAAACATTAAAAGTAGTTATTGGTCACTTTGAAATGTTAATTTATTGTGCCAATTTACTTGCATATTTATAAATATGAATTGTGAATATAATTTATTTTCATATCAATAGAATAGCAAAAAAAAAAAAAGGTCATATTATGATATTGATACTTTATTGTGATATTTGTACGCAAATTAAAGAGATGATATATTGTTCATATTTTGTTTATTTATATGCTATTTGTATGATCTTAGTTTGAATGATTTATTGTGATTTATTGACAATAAATTTTATTGTGAGCATTTGAAATTGTTTTGAGTTTAACTAAACAAGAAATTAGTTGAGAAAGAATAGTTAAGTATTCATATAATGTGTAAGTAATTTTTCAGAAGATATATTTTGAGTATTACAAATTAAATAAATAATATATATTAATGTTAAGAAGTTTTGACAATAAGTTCAATTTTACCCTTTATTCTCAGAAAGTTTATTTTAAAAGATATTCTATATTTGTGTTCTTTTTAATTATATGAGTTTGCTTATGAGAATAAATTAAGCATGTGCAAATGATAATTATAGTTTAAAAAATTATGATTATTGGATTAATTCAAACATTATTTAATTCTTTAAGTTCATACATTTTGAAAAAGTATAAAAGAAAATTGTATATTTACAATTAAATTAGTTTTTACTGTGACATTTGAGAGAAAAAATCATATATTTATGTCACATTTGAATTGAAAAAATAGAAATTTATTTAACTTTATGAGAAAATTTATTATAAATAGTTGATATTAATTTCGATTGGTTGGACAAAATCATCTTTGCAGTATGCGTAAATTCTATATATATTACAAGTTAAACTTATGATACTTATAACTATTTATTATTATGTATTACGATATTATTAAGATGAATTTGTCTCCTTATTCTTCTCAAATTACTTAGTTCCTGAAGAATTATGTGTAAAAATATTAATATAGTTCCTAAAGAACTAATAAATATTTTTCTTTATGGGCAGATAAAGAATTAATGGTAAAAAAATATGACCCATTGATCTACATTAGAACTTCGGTTTCGAAAGAGTCTGAAAAGTAATAACCTAATCGAATTAAAATCCATAATTATATATGAACTAGGAAGTACTTGGACTTCCAAGTGATAGAGGTTATTAGCCTATTATATGCTAGTCACTGTTTTTGAAATACATGAATAAGGAAAACATGTTTTTATGACTCACACTTGAGGGGGAGACTGTTGAAATACAAGTGTGAGTTGATGTTGGATAGAGTTTCACTTGAAACTTGTTACAGTAAACCAGAAGTTTACTCGCCTAATTAATGTATAGTTGGGGTGGCTTGTCTGATTATCATAAATAATATATATGATGTAACAAATTATTGATGATTCTGTATCAACATTCATTGAAGAACCAGAAGATTCTTCATGAAGAGCCAACATATTATATGATCCAAGAATTCATATGCTGCTTATTCTCAATGAAAAATTGATTACATTGATATCACTAGTTATGATGTAAAATGGATCTCTACATTTCTAGAAATATATCAAATTCAGATATATGGGCCCATACCAATAGCATGTAAACCATACTAGTATTTAATAAATTTGATAGATGCATCTATAAGATGGTTACATGTATTATTATTAATTTGCAACCTGAAGTTTGCAAAATTATTTGAGTAATCATAATGTTGAGTGCACAAGTTCCAGACTATGAGATCCAGAAAATTTCTATTGAAAAAGATTGTGAATTTATATCCGAGAATTTCAGTGATCAACATGCATTTGTTAGAAAAATAATTGAAAAGTCTGCTTAACAGAATGATCTGGCAGAATTATTAGCCTCCATGAATGGCTAGATTAATACTTTTGAGAACAAGATCTTCATCTCAAGGTTGGCTTGTTTAGTTTGATATGTTGCAACATTTATGCAAATCAAGCCAATAAAATTCTCCTAATGAAATTGGCTTTTGGTCAGGAGCCAAATACCTTCCATCTTAAAAGTTTAAATGTGCAATGCTTATGTCTATTGATCCACCACAATATACATATAGATGGATATAAAAAATTGGAATGAATGTTGGGTAAGAATCTCCTTCTTCTTGTTTATATATAAAAGAAACAAAAGAGATGTTTCTAAAAGAAGCAAATGAATTGAGGAGACTCATACTGCATGATTAATTAATTATCATTCGACAAAATTTTCCCAAAATGAGGGGGAGAAATTGAGTAGTTGGAAAAAGATAACATATAGAATGCATTATTATTATCAAGTATAGATCCTCAGATATATCATAGTATGAATCAGAAGTTCATCAAAGAATGCATCCATGAGATATTACAAAATATGTGCCAGATGCTATTGTTGACCTAAGTGAGTATTATTAAATCTCATATTCCAGCTGAAAATACTCCAATTAGTATAAATAAAAGTGAGACATGCCTGAAGCATAAGAGATTAATCGGTTCCAATATAATTATATTGATAAAAAAGGAGCATGAAATTTAAAAGTTATATTAAGGAGGCATGTGCTCTAGAAGAGTACTGAGACATAACTAGTTGAAAAAAAAAGGCCCCAAAAGAGGTTCAGGTACCTGAAAAATAATGAAGAGATCTCAATAAGTTATGCCACAAGAGGAAAAATGGAACCAAAAAGATAAAGTTGTCGACAACATTTTTGATAATAATATCACGTGATTTTAAAGAGGATTTTATATGAAAATAGAAATTTGGCCAAAAGCAAAAGGAAAAGAGAAAAGATGCAATGGAAACATAATTATTATTTTAATATGTGAAAATTATGAACCTGCAATCCAAACACATCAAATACGAAGTTATTATGTGACATATGAATATTTTTGTGAAAATAAAGAATTTCACAAAGGTCCAGTGATTATGATTAGGCATAATATTTTGTGATGGATGCAATAGTTTTTGCATATATTACTAGTTTGGCAGTATATGAAAAATGAAATATGCGTCTGTTAGATATCGTTATAGCATATACATATGGCTCACTAAATAATGAAGTTTACATGAGAATTCTTGAGGGATTTAAAATGCCAGAAGCATTTATAGAAGAAAATCATCCAATGCTTAAAAAATTATGCTGAATAAGATAATTTGAGTATACATATCTGGCTTAGAAAAATGTATTAGAAATAAATAATTTCGTATCTTACTTGACCCGTAGATCAAGTTATTGAATGCATCAATGATTGCAAAATGATTGATTTTGTTATGATAATTTTGTTTGCAAAATATATTCAACTAAATATATTAGAAGTCCCATATATTTATTCTATAATAATATTTACATATATTGTCAATATTATGGTAAAGATAAGTTTCTGCAGGTATGCATGTGAATAACGAAACTGAGATTGGATATGCAGTTCTATGAAACTATTACATGATATCATTTTATTCAAATTAAATTAATTATGTCGATGCAAGATATATTATAGTATTTTTCAGAATAAACTTTCTTTGCAGTTTTCTCAGTGCAAGTAAAAAATATATTGATAATTCCACATATCTAGAAGATATGTTAGATGAATACATTTCAATATAATTTGATGATGACGTACTATGCATAGTTTAGCTAAAAAAAAGATATGCTTGAAAAAGCATTGGACAACTTGAGAAATTAGTATACTCTATTATGATAAAATGATAGAGAGTGATGCTGTTGACAGGGGGAGTAAAAGTGATGTTGTCATTAGGGGGAGCAAAGATCATGTTGTACTCTTTTCCTTAGCCAAGATTTTGTCCCACGGGGTTTTTTTGTTAAGGTTTTTTAACGAAACAGCTTTAATGTATATTGTGTACTCTTTTTCCTTCACTAGGATTTTGTCCCACTGGGTTTTTCTTAGTAAGGTTTTAATGAGGCACAATATTTGTTTATGAACATCCAAGGGGGAGTGTTGTAAACATTATGTTGTGTGGATGTTCATAACTCCTTAGTCCCTTAGGATTCCTTCTCATGGTTAATGGCATTATACCTTATAACTCCCAAATTGAAGGGTTTCAAGTATTGATTTCCTATAACCTCCAATTGTACAATTATGTTGCTTAATTCCTTTCTTTATGTACTTGTAACTCTTTAGGTTAGTCTTCAATATTGGGGTCCTATAAATAGGAGATGATGTACACACATTTGAGACAATGAAGTGAACCAGAACTCCCCCTTAATTTCTCCTCCAATTTCCTCTTATTTTCTCCATCTCCCTCATCTCAATCTTTGTACTTTTCTCATTTTTCACAACAATCTTAAAAATTAATAAGTTTCATTACAAAAGCGCGCAAATTACAACCTCGAATTAACAACTTCTCTTTCACTACAATACATTTATAATAAATCTTAATTCGAACTTAAGCACAATATAACCTTTCTGTTACATATTTCACAAATTACAATTTGGAATTACCAACTTCCCTTTCACCATAACACATTTCTAAAAAAATCTTTGAAAAAAAATTAAGCACAATACGACTTTAAAAATTAACAAATTTCATTATATAGTTAATAAGTTTTAATTTCTAATTAACAACTTATCTTTCATCACAAAACATTTCCAATAAATCTTTAAAAAAAAAAAAGCTTGAGCACAAGATAATCTTTAAAATTAACAAGTTTTATTATGTAGTTAACAAATTAATAACTTCTTTTTTCTTTAGAAAACATTTCTGTTAAATCTTGGGGGGGAAAAAACATAAGCAAAAGACAAACTTCAAAATTAACAAGTTTCATTATGCAGTCCACAATTTTAATTCTAAGTTATAGTTTTCTTTTTTTTTTTTCCAAAATACATTTACAATAAATCTTGACTAAACCTTAGGGCATTGACGTAATTTGACTAAATTTCTAAATTCTTTTTTGGGTTATATGGCTTGACAGGGATTTCATAAATTCAGTGACCCAAATTAGAATATGAATTATTTAGTTAACTTTTTAATGCATTTTTCCATAAAATTAAAAAGTAAAATTTTCTCTACTAATTCATTTAAGAGTAAAGAAAGTTTTTTTATATAAAAAAAAATGATTCTACTTAGGCTTAACGTATGCGAGAAACTAAACACAGGGATATGTTCAAAACTTATTTTCAACTTATTTTGATAAGCTTATGTTTGAAACAGCACGAGAATTTATAAATGCAAAATTTGCTCGTTCCAGGTATGGAACAGAAAGAGAGCATGGCAAATCATTCAATCGACCACGCGCCCGACAGAAGAAGCAAGATGCTGAAAATTCAACTGGTTGAAGATCTTGTTCTGACTGATTGTAAAGCAAGCAAGCATGTAAAAAGAAGGCTTGATGGAAAATGGGTAATGCATAGTTTTGTCAAGGAATGTAATCATGAGCTTTTACGAACTTAAGCTGTCAGTGAGCAAACAAGAAAGTTTTTTGCTGCAATGGCTACACAGTTCGCTGAATACAAAACTGTGGTTGGTCTGAATTGGGGCCTGGAGTCGGGGGATGCCAAGCTTCTACTTGATTTTTGGGTGCAGATGCACGGTATGAATTCAAACTTCTTTTGCGCAGTAGATATTGGTGAGGATCAACGTCTGAAAAATCTCTTGTGATGTAGTCTTTTTTGACGCCATCTATGTTAGAAACAAATATAAGTTGAGTTACTTATAAAATTAACTTAAGGTATAACATAACATATTGTTTATGATATATATTACTCTCCCGATCCTTAATATAAAATCTATTTAACTAATTTGATTAGATTAAGGAAGTTAGGTAAGTTAGTTAATTATAAGAAATGTAACACGTTTTTCCTAAAACACCATAATTATCTTTCTTAATACCCATTCTCCCTCTTTTACTTGATTATGGTTGAGGGAGTATCTATAGGGGTAATTTAGAGAAAATTGATAAATATGAAAAATGAGTATTATATTTAGAATCAAAACCAACTCAAGAATTGGGTCATATATTAAGGACAGGAGGAGTATTAGAATAAAGAGAATATTTACATAATTTTGATTAAAAAATTTCTAGAAAGACTTTAAGAAACAATAATACAGTAAAGAGAGTTTGAAGTTACAACCAATACTTGGGTACAAGAGATGAGAGCAGCCTGTGTTATAAAAAAAATACACTCTTCCAATTCTTAATGTAAAACCTAATTAACTAATTTACCTAAATTAATTATGTTAGTTAACTTAGTTAATATAATATTTTTTTCCTAAAATACCCAAATTATCTTTCTTAATTCCCTTATTCCCTTTCCTACTGATAAAGTTAACTTCAGAAAAATTGATAAACATGTAAAATAGATCTTACATATAAACTAACATCAGTTATTAAATTAGGTCCTATATTAAGACCGGAGGAGTAATATTTACACATAATGCAATAAATCAATATCTAACAGGGAAGTTTCTACTATGAAAAGCCTGACTAATTGATTATACTGTAAAAAAAAAAAAGAATAACTATATTCACTCCTAAATTTGCACCACCTAACTGCTAGATGGTCCATTGATACATGCTTCTCATACAGTGCCGCAATGGTAGACTGGTGACTATATATATGCACAGAGGTAATACACAAAAATTATACGTGTGTGTGTGTGTGTGACATGGCGCTGCATAAATACCAGTAATATCTGCATTGATTAAATATGCCACTAGCGAAATGTTTGGTTTCTATGGTCAATAATACACATATTATACAAAGATCGGTGAATATTACAGTAATATGGCACAGAGATGAAAATAATGAAATATCCAATTAGCATTTGGATAGGCCATTGAAATGTTTGAGCTCTGACCTATGGTCAATACTGCACATATATCTAACATTTGTGGGTGAATACTAGGGATAAAAATGATGAAATATCCAAGTAAGAATCTTCTTCAGTGGCCACTCAATTACCCATGAAAGAGAACTAACCAAGAAACAGATAACCCATTGAGTTGCATTCAGGCTCATGCAATCTGCTAGGCTATTTGCAAATTGAATCACCAGAACCTGCATAACCAGGCAAACCCCTAATGCGACCAAGAAACAGTAGCTCAGAGGAACCATCTTGAAAACTCCCTTCTTCATTGCTAGGCCCAAGAAGTTGAGCTGCTTGAAGACCTGACATAACATGAATATGTTGAAGATCATAGTCTTCCTAACTTGTTTTGTGCTGTCTGTAACTTGTCCTCCAAAAAGAAATATCATAGAAACAGAAGCCCGCAGCAAGACATCAATGGCTATGTCTTTCCAGATTTCTTGGGTTATAAGTGACTGCTTCCGGTTATTTGGTTGGTTAGCATGCTGATCTTCCCTGATGTCTAAATTCATTAACATCATTAGGCCTCCCAAAATGCACACTATCGAGTTCACCCAAATCAACTGGATGGCCGTTAGGGGAGACTGTCCGGTGCACATTGTTGTAATCAAGGTTATGAATAACCCAGATAAGTTAGTTGTGAGCTGAAATTGAATGAACTTTTGAATGTTGTGATATTGACATCTCCCAGCCCTCACAATTGTAGTTATTGCACTGAAACATTCAATAGATACATTTGAACTCTCCATATCAGATTTCAGGTTCTGAGACTTAGCATCGATCACTATATCAGCTGCCTCTCGAACTGCAGGGTCATTTAATGTCAATCCTCCAAAGAATGCAACCACGTCACCCTCATCTTGCAAACACCTAATCATGAGAACCTTGTGATCAGGAAGGAAACCTCCCATTACCAGTGCTTCATCCAACTTCTTTGACCTGGCTGGGCCATTTAAATCTTGAATTTCTTTTCCTTGAAGAATAAAACCATCTTCAGCGGGAACTTCTATTCCTAGTTCACAAGCTAAGGCTTTCACTGCCACAATGTCATGCCCTGACACTAATTTGATCTTGATTCTTTCATTTTTTAGGTCTGTCAAGGCTGATCTTGTCTCTTCAAAGAATGAGCGTTTGAGACCCACCAGAGCTAGCAAGATTAGACCATCTCGTTGAAGTTCCTGAGCCTCAGTCTTTTGATAAGCAAGTGCAATAGGCTCAAGGCCGCTATCCTCCATTTCTTTAATGACTTCCCCAAATTTGATTTTCTGATTTGTTATGCCATGGTATTCGCCATTACTATCATAATAGTGTGAACACATTTCCAGTATTGTAGACGCTGCTCCACTCCAGTGCGAGTGCAGATCTTTTTCATGGTCTCCAACTTTTCTCACCAAAACTCCATTTCCCTTTCCCTGAGCATTTTGTTTGCTATGCTGAAGAATGGTAAGGTTCTCACCAAAAGATTCTCTGTTCACGCCCCAAGTGGTTTCTGCCCAAGAAATAAGTGAATTGGACACTGGAGAAAGAATAAACTCCGGGGCAAGAACAGATACGCTGGCTCCTTGCTTAAGTTTGTCGAGCACAACTTCATTAATTTCTGATGTCATATCATTGCTGATATCTCTCTCCCCAATCCGAATTCTACTAACCTCCATCGGTTTAGACATTAGCCCACCAGATGCATCAACACAGATGACTGTAACCAGTCCCATTGTTGCACAAGACGATAAATCATGAAGATCTGCAACTTGGTTTGATACCACCTTGTCCATTTGGTATTTCAGAGAAATCGTAACCATAAGTGGCACCCCATGTTGCATACTTATTATTGCAACAGTTATAAGGCTAGTTAAAATGGAAACTTTTCCTTGGGGTTTCAAGAAAATTCTCTCCATCAATTTTATCAGGAAGTCAACTGAAACCTTACCCTTCATTTCTGGTAACCCACTGTTGTCCCCATTTTTCTTGCGAAGCAGGCGAATGAGCACCACAAGCATAACCAACACAGAGATAAGAAGGGCAACTTTGTGAATGAAAGAAATCGGCTTCTCAATTCGACTTTCCAACAGCATAATCTTTTCAGGATTATTTGCTGCCGAATTCTGCATCTCAACTGATATTCTGTTTCCAACTGATGTTACAAGCATCGAAGTTTCACCCTCAAAAGATATTTTTGAACCAAACAAGAGAAATGGATCCTGTGTCTCATCCAGCACAGAGTTTTCATTATTTAGAAGCAAACCATCAGCTGGAACCTCGTCACCCATCTTAAGACACACTGTATCACCAACCATAATATCTGATATGTCCACCGTTTGGAGAGTTCCGCCTCTAACAACAGTAAATTTCAACTTGCATTTCTTCTGTGACAATTTTAGCATCTTTCTTTCACGCCAAAAGCTTTGCACAGAAGAGAAAGAGATAATCATGATTATCGCAACAAGTACAGCTGCAGTATCATGCCAACCATATTTAGGTCCTTCCAGCTTGATCTCTATGGCCAAGGACAACAGAGCTGAGATCATGAGTAATGAAATTGTGTAACTATTGCGTCTGCAACTATTGACAAAACAGCACGAGAGGCTCAGTCCATGACCTTGGTTAGTGGCCTCCAACACTTGATGGTTCCCATTATTAATATTGCTCTCCTGTTAAAAAGAAAATGAATTTAATAAAAAATCACATCTTTCTCAAGAATCAAAGAACCAAACTTTAAAGCAATTCTTGGCTGTGCACATTCAATAAATAAATGAACCAAATTTGATTTGTACATGGGGAGCCCACGTATGGATCCAATATGGACCTACATCGGTAGGAGGCTACGAAAAGTTCCCCAAAACTGGTAGATTCTGTAATGGATGGAAATGGCAGAAATAATATTCTAACAGAATCGGCAACTAAAACCACAACTCGCTACTGAAACCACTACTTAAACTTCTGAAATCAAAATCAATAAAACAAAGTCTTGGGTCTGATACAAAGAAAGAACAGATAACAGGGGACGAAACAGCTTGATATAGAGAACAAAGAAACAGTAACGAAGAAGAAAAGAGACTTGAACGGAAGAAGCCACACTTCAGAAAAATAACAGAGAGAAACGTCAATCACAAAATACTCCAGCCCACAAACAATATCAGAATGATATCATATAATTGCTCATTCCCTCAACTTCAGGGGCGGCCGGTAGCCTTCCCTTGCTCCTTCGGACCACCACTTGCTCATCGTCCTCACTTTTCTGGTTGCAGTCCACGTGTACCGTGTGTTCCCCGTTCAAAATAGGCTTTAGTACCGCAGATTCTTCCTTAACAGTTTCATTTCGCATTAAAATAATCTCGGTGGTTCCAAAACACCTTCACGCACCAGTGACACCAAAACGCAGAAACATCAGTAAAAATGGGACAATCATAAACGCCCGCATGTCGATGTTCACATATTTATCCAAAGGATCTCAATTAACACAAAATGCGAAAGGCAATTCTACAGCGAGCTTTGTTTTTTAGGAGCTTGGACCACTTCAAGATTCGAAACTAAAGTAAAAGTTAAAAGTGAGGATCACAATCCACAACAGGGAAGCTTAACTTAGAGGTAGTTATTATGTCCTTATTGATCAGATATACACCTCTGATTGACGACGACTAAGAACTGAACGAACACGGTCGACTCCCCCGAGCTCACGAAGCGAGTCCAAATCCTTGCGCTTCACGATACCAGCAATATCGCTTTTGATGCGCTGTTCCAAACGCAAAATATCCTCCTCTTCGTTATCAGAGGGAACATCAATCGCACAAGAAGATTTAGCCGAGGAAGTTCTCGTGGGAAGTGATGGGGACGGGGGTAATGACGTGTACTGAGATAATTGTTCAGATTCGCGTGTGGCAGTAGTAGTTGTGGTCGTTCGCTTGCGAGATATGAAGATTCGAATGTACAAGCTCCGACGCCATAGCCGACCGTACTTGCTAGTGACGAGCAAGGAAGCATCCAGTGCAGTACTGGTATCATCTTCGACAAAATCGTTTGGCTGCGAGGAGGACATATCTTGTGATTGTGACTGTGTTCTTCGACGGAAAAAATGGATATCAGTCTCCGGTGACGCAAAAGGAAGAAGAAGAAGGTCACTATCCGACGGAAGGCAATTTCAATTTCCAAACTAAAGACATCAAACTGGGATTAGCTACCTCTAATTTATTTTCATCAAGCTCATACGTAAGCTTGAGGAAGGCAAGGAATTTATTTTATAAGTTTAAATTTTAAATTAATTTAATAAATTAGTTTCAGTAAGTTTAATCTTTTTACAAATAATTTATTATAATTCAAATCTAATGTGTTGTTGTTGTTCACACTTTTATTTTCTTATTTTTACTCAAGACATGTTAATTATATTTTTTCTTTAATTTCATCGTGTTTCCTTTTTAATTTTTTTTAAAGTCTAGGAGATGAAAATTAAAATAAAAACAAACTTAAAAAAGTAAATTAGACATTTAAGAGTTGAAAATGACAAAGAAAAAGTAGTGCTTAATTTGGTATTTTGTAAAAGTAATTAAATGATTAAAATGTTCTTATATTAAAAAGTTTAATAACAAGTGTTGAATGACAAATAACAAGAAATATATTAGTAATGACAAATTATTAATTAACAAATTGTGAATTAACAATAACAAATATTAAATAGCTAATAATAAAAAGTATACTAATAATAACAGTTTTTTTTAGTCAAAGTCAGTGACAAGTTTGATAGTTTTTTTCAAATACAATACAAGAACATTTTTTTCCTGAAATTTTACCATTTTGCTTTGCCACAAATACTTTATCTATTTAGTAAATATTTTATTTTATCTTTTTAGCCCCAAGAAAATTCAGGGACGCCAATGAAATGCCGCGTCTATACTTTACATACACCGCGTTGCTACAAGTTTCAAATTTCAAGGTATATATTTTCAAGAAAAATGACATTGAGGTCCCATGCAACACAAAATACTACAAAAAAGTCTCAGGAAATTTGGTAATGATTCTGAAGTCCTAAAGAGACTTGAGTGCAATTTGATGAATTGTAAAAAGACGCTTCTGCCCCTGGTGAGATGCACCTAAACTAACTGAAAGTTGCCCTGTTTTTCAGTCTGAAAATCAGCACTCTATACGCAGGAAGCAAGAGGGAAAAAACCCAAATTTCATTCTGTTTCTTCCTCCATTCCCATCTGAAAATCTCATCCACTCTATTAATGTCAATCATTGCCAAAAATCGCTTGTGTTTTTGGTTTGGTGTGTATTTGGTCATTCAAGTTGAGGTTTTATTATAGGTAGGTAGGGTGATTATGGGTGTTCTGTTTCTAGGTATATTGTGGGTGGATTGAAGGTGGGCTTGCTCTGTCTGGGCATAGTTCAGGGAGAATTGATGAGAAAGATGAAGGTTGGTGTGATTAGAAACCCTTACTGCGAAATAGGAAAATATGTTGTCAATATGGGCCGCGACAGTTGTCAATATAGCTCCTTGACTTGTCAATAGTAACAGCATTGTACAGATTTACATTAACTGATTTTTTAAATTTTTTACACAAAAGTCATGACCTTCTGTACCCTTGACTCATTGGTAGAGGTCACAAAAAGAGGAAGAAGAGACAGCAAAGAAGAGTGAGTAGTTACATGAGGCAAAAGGAAAAAAATGGAAGAAAAAAAAAGCCACTTTGATCCTAGACAAATGATGGCAAAAGAATTTTTTCGTAAATAGAAGTGACATAAATTTTTTCTGTAGATGTCACAACACACACAAATAATTAGTTTGATACTGGATACGTGCAACTATATTTTTTTTAATGGGTTATAAAATCGATGTAATTACATGTATATGAAGTTGTAAATGAAAGTTAGCTATGTATTACATTCTGATGCATAGTTAGTTGTCATTATACGCAACCTTCATTGTCAATATATGCTTTGTTACTTGTCACTCACTGCACCATTAGTTGTCAATTAATGTGCCGATATAAATTTAAAAAAATATGATTTTCATTACATAATGTTATACAACGTCATACAATATCACTAATTCCTCAAAACTAATTCATTTTTTATAATGTGATATAGAATAGTTATTAAAAGTCAATCATCACTTATATGAAGTCATAAAATCACTTGTCATGAACAACACATTCACTTGTTAATGGTTTTGCTCTGTTCTGATGTTAGTTTAGTGGCAAAGGAAGAAAAAAATTAAGGTTAGTGTGGGTGGAAAGATATTGTGTTGTCAATTAGGTCGCGATAGTTATCAATGTGTGCCATGACAGTTGTCAACGTAGCTCCTTAACTTGTCAATGACAGTTGCGTGATTCTTGATGCACATTTAAATTACTGATGGCGAGTACATCTGGAAAGCATCTATTTTACTTTGTTTACATAGGGAGAAAGTTTATAAATGATAAAGAAGATGATATGAGATATGTGGAAGGTAGTGTAAAAACAACAATATAAAGGAGAGCACAACTTATGAAGAATTGAAGGAAATTACATCATCAATTGCTGGAAAAGAAAGTAACTCATTTCTTTTGAAATTCTTAGTTATGTATAGCTCAACAGCACCCAACATAAAAATTAACAACCTGAGTTATCCAAAATAACAAGTAATATAGCAAGAGTTAATAACAAGTGATATAACAATTTCATAACAAATGAATGTGTCGATAGTAACAATTAATATTCAAAAATTTTACAACTGAAGGTGTCATTTATTTATAATGTTAAGTGATATTTGCATTAAAATATAATTATTATGAAGAATGTGTTACTCAAATTTATGTTCAATTGATAAGAGACAGTGCCTTTATTAACAAGTCATAGTGCTCTATTGGCAAGTCACAATGCTACCATTGACAACTGATAATCCGCCGCGGCGTCCCTATCTATCCCAAGGAGCTGCCATTCTGTGTAAGGCGCCGTGGCGGCTGATCATGTCTGCTGTAGCGCCTAACCCTTTCAAGAAGTTATTTGGCGAACAACAAGTCACAGTGTTACCATTAACAAGTCAGTGTACCACCATTGACAAGTCATAGTGCTTCTATTGACAAGTTACAATGCCACCATTGACAAGTCATAGTGCCACTATTGACACTTCATTAATAATGATTATATATGACAATATAACTAAAACATAATATGACAGAGTAATTGAAAATATCATATGATACTAAACACAGGTTATGTAACTTTGAATTCATATTGTTGACAACTTACATCAGCAAATTAATTGACAAGTCACAGTGCTCCGTTGACAAGTTATAACAGGTCTAATAACAATGCAGGGTGCGGGTAATGACAATTGAAATGACAGTAAAATCTAACATGCCAAGTTACACTGAAACCATTAACAAGTGAATGTGTTGTTCATGACAAGTGATTTTATGACTTCATATCAGTGATGATTGACTTTTAATAACTATTCTATATCACATTATAAAAAATGAATTAGTTTTGAGGAATTAGTGATATTGTATGACGTTGTATAACATTATGTAATGAAAATCATATTTTTTTAAATTTATATCGGCACATTAATTGACAATGAAGGTTGCGTATAATGACAACTAACTATGCATCAAAATGTAATACATAGTTAACTTTCATTTACAACTTCATATACATGTAATTACACCGATTTTATAACCCCATTAAAAAAAATATAGTTGCACGTATCCAGTATCAAACTAATTATTTGTGTGTGTTGTGACATCTACAGAAAAAATTTATGTCACTTCTATTTATGAAAAAAAATTTTTGCCATCATTTGTCTAGGATCAAAGTGGCTTTTTTTCTTCCATTTTTTTCCTTTTGCCTCATGTAACTACTCACTCTTCTTTGTTGTCTCTTCTTCCTCTTTTGTGACCTCTACCAATGAGTCAAGGGTACAGAAGGTCATGGCCTTTGTATAAAAAATTTAAAAAATCAGTTAATGTAAATCTGTACAATGCTGTTACTATTGACAAGTCAAGGAGCTATATTGACAACTGTCGCGGCCCATATTGACAACATATTTTCCTATTTCGCAGTAAGGGTTTCTAATCACACCAACCTTCATCTTTCTCATCAATTCTCCCTAAACCATACCCAGACAGAGCAAGCCCACCTTCAATCCACCCACAATATACCCAGAAACAGAACACCCATAATCACCATGCCCACCTATAATAAAACCCCAACTTGAATGACCAAACACACACCAAACCAAAAACACAAACAATTTTTGGCAATAATTGACATTAATAGAGTGGATGAGATTTTCATATGAGAATGGAGGAAGAAGCAAAATAAAGTTTGGGTTTTTTCTCTCTTGCTTCCTGCGTATAGAATGCTGATTTTCAGATTGAAAAACAAGGCAGCTTTCAGTTAGTTTAGGTGCATCTCACCAGGGGCAGAGGCGTCTTTTTACTATTCATCAAATTGCACTCAAGTCCCTTTGGGACTTCAGAATCATTACCAAATTTCCTGAGACCTTTTTGTAGTATTTTGTGTTGTATGGGACCTCAATGTCATTTTCCCTCTTTTCAATTGTAGCTTAATTTCTTTTTTTAATTTGATCAAAAGTTTTTCTTTTTAAAATATAGAATGCAAAGGATTTTCGTCTCTTTTCAATGAGTATGGATCTTGAAATTCAAACATGTATTTTTTTTATGAGTGTGAGACCGCTTACTATCTCAACCAACAACTTGTTAGCAGCTATGTTTTAATACAAGAAATATCATTTTATTTAAAATATTTTTATAATATTCAAATATTCTAAATTAAAACTTTGAAATTGTAAACTTAGCTTGTCTCTGTTTGCTCAAAAAATATAATTTTGAGATTGTAATTTATAACCTTGAGAAACATACTAGCTCATTCTCTTAACATAAGAATTAAATAACTAATTTGTAAATATTAGGAAAATTAGTTAAGTTAATTATTTATAATAAATGAGTATTGTCTTTCTTAAATATCCTTATTAATCACATGCATTAAAATAAAAATCTTTTAACATGTGCAATCATCATGGGGACTACTTCAAAAAAGTAATTAAAGATTGAAGGATAAAGTGAATTGAAGTCTTATATTTAGAAATAAATTAAATTCTTAACTGACT